ATTAGCATTTATTAATACTGATTGCAATGAAATGATTCACATCCCCAGGTACCACATGCCTGTCGACTAAAATTGGGATCGATAGTAAGACTCTGTGACGTATCTGATCTCGTGACGTGGATCAGCGTGGTTCGTGATTTGAATCACTGGTCTGTCTGGTCCAGACTGGATTATTTACAGGCCGTCGTCATCTAGTTCCACTATTGCTAACTGTGACGGTTAACAACATTCACTCACTCATATCCTTTTCAATTGCGAACATTAATGAATGCAACACTGACATCTTCCTGACTTGCAAATCATACTGATGAAAGTAAATAAAATGATCCACAGAGCAAAATACTGTATACCGATGTAGTTAATCATAAAGTGAGTGAGTGAGTTGGGTTTTAGGCCGCTTTTAGCAATGTTCCGGCAATATCACGGTGAGGGACACCAGAAATGAGCTTCTGACATTGTACCCATGTCTGGCATCGAACTCGGGTCTTCGGCGTGACGAGCAAACGCTTTAACTACTAGGCTACCCGACCGCCCCGGATAATTATAAAAACTCTTCATATCTTCCAATACTCTCCAATAGGTATTCAGCAACCCATGCGCAAAAGGCAACTATGCTTGTCGTAAGGGGCCACTAACGCGATTGGGTGGTCAGGCAAGCTGACTTCATTGATGTATGTCATCGTATCCCTATTTCGTGAATAGATGCTCATGATGTCATTCACTGGATTGTCTGGTCCTGACTCGATTATTTACAGACCGCCGTCATATAGCCGGAATATTCCTGAGTACGGCGTTAAACAACAAACAAACAAACAAATGTTTGGTATAGTGAAGCAGGATGTTTGGTTGTGAGACGAGAACACCAAACAAACAACAAATCAAATACATCTCAGATTCGCCGCGATTATGTAACATATTTTGTCACCACAGTCTGCCTGTACATTAGTTCGTAAAGTGGATAACGTCTACGAAGTGCGCATGCGTCACTTTGATAGTGCCCTCGAGTGTATATGCCAGAACGGCAGAAGTTCAAAAGTTCAACGTAGGATGAAAACGAGGCTCAGTCCCACCCCAAAACAAACTTACCTGGGAAACTGTTGACATCTTCAAAGAGATTCTTTCGTCAAGCGAGCCCTACTGATAAAACTGGTGGTGCGACAGAGTTGTCGAGTATGTTAAGTTTGCATGACTGCCTTCTCACAATCACTTTGTTTGACAAATTGGCGCTCCCTCTATTTTTTAAACAGCTGCGTCAGTGCCTGCATCAATGAGGTTAAGACTTTTAAATATATGCCACTCACACACACACACACACACACACACACACACACACACACACACACACACACACACAGATATATAGACTGACATAGAGACAGACAGACATTTAGATAGTGAGACAGAGAAATAGATAGACAGACAGACAGACAGGTAGATAGATAGACAGATAGATAGATAGATAGATAGATAGATAGAGACACAAACACACAGATAGATAGACAGACATAGAGACAGGCAGACATTTAGATAGTGAGACAGACAGATAGATAGACAGACAGATAGATTGATAGACAGACAGACAGACAAATAGAGATACAGATAGAGAGACAGATAGATAGATAGATAGATAGATAGATAGATACACAAACAGACAGATAGATTAACAGGCAGACAGACAGACATAGAGATACAGATAGAAAGACAGACAGATATAAACTCAGACAGAGCAGAGTCCATTGTACGATTTCAACTGTATATGAAGACTCATAAGCGTGTGTATATATGAATGCCTATCAAATAGTGATGACACCAGGTGTTCGCGAAAAGGCACCCGACAGACGTCGCACCATCACGTCTGTGTATCAAACGCGAGACACCTGTTGCCCCGGTGTCCGCGTGTATCGCCTCCGGAGGCTGAGAGGTATATAGGACGCGGGGAGATATAACTCTTTACAGTCCTTGTCTTGTCGCCCATCAAAGCATTTAAGGACTTTGCTGCAAGTATTGCGCATGTAAACATATTTGTGGTACCGGTTTCCCCACTGAGATCCAAGGACACGGCAGTACCGAGGGTTTCATTTACTCCGCAGCTTGTAAACACATCGGGAATGTCCTCTGGCATTTTATCAAAGAATGTTCCTTACTTGCAGAGTGAGTGAGTATTGTTTTACGCCGCTTTTTTGCAATATTACAGCAATATCACGGCGGGGGACACCAGGAGTGGGCTTCACACATTGTACACATCTCGTGGTGTTCAGTGAGAGAGTGAGTGAGTATTGTTTTACACCGCTTTTTGCAATATTACAGCAATATCACGGCGGGGGACACCAGAAATGGGCTTTACACATTGTACCCATGTGAGGAATCGAACCCGGGTCTTCGGCGTGATGAGCGAACGCTTTAACCACTAGTCTACCCCACCGCCCCCTTTACTTGCCGAGGTTGCTCACAGTGACATGTGTTTACATATTCTACATATTGCCTCTGTGTATATGGCCCAGATTTCGTGCCTCCATTATGCAAGTTGTGATTTCATAAGCAATCTTGGTGCATGATGTGTAAATATTACCGCAAGCTATTTTTCATACGTAAGTTACTTTTGCCAAAAACGCTTCTGTATCGCTTTCGAACTAGAGAAACAATTCAAGCGCAAAATGCAGATAAAAAAATTACTGTTAAAATAAATGAATTTACATTTTCCCCATGTCTCTCACAGTGAAGATCCGGGGTAGAATAGGTCTTCAGCAACCCATGCTTGCCGTAAAAGATGTCTATGCTTGTCGTAAGAGGCGACTAACGGGATCGGGTGGTCAGGCTCGCTGACTTGGTTGATGCATGTCATCGATCCCAATCAATCACTGGATTTTCTGGTCCAGACACGATTATTTACGGACCGCCGTCATAAAGCTGAGATATTGCTGTGTGCGGCGTTAAACAACAAACAAACCAACCAACCTCATGTCTCACTATAAATCCTATATTGATTGAATTCTGCGCTTGAGCAGGGGGCAGAAATATTGATCAAATGATGTTTGAAACAACATCCTAATCGAAGCAAGAACTAATTTTGTTATTTCCTCATTGAGAAAAAGGATAAAACAAATATATCTGTTTGGATGCCTCGACGTCTAAGGCGCTGGAATTTGCTCTCAAGAGTTGCGTCCCTTAGTCTGGCCAGGATCTACTGATCGCGGGTTCGATACCCAAATTCGTGATATGTGTCCCTTGGTTTGCCATAACCTCGTGTGTATCAACGAAGTGGTCCTGCGTCACATGGGGCTTCACTGGGTTCAAATCGGCGTTAAACCAGACTCTCCCCCTAAAGTTATGTAACTGAAATCACTCATTCCCGGGTCACTTCGCGGGAATCCTCGACCAGAGGAGCCCACAGCACTCAATTGTTAGCGTCAGAGTTGCCTAAATTGGGATCGGCGGTATGCCATCGAATCCCCAGGGCCTGTGACAAGCCTCGCGACAACATCTGGCTTTCCTGGCCCAGACTCGGTCATTTAAAGACCGCCGTAAAATATCACTCACTCACTCGTGCGCTTTAACCGAGCTGATGATCATGACATTCGTGCACACTCGTGTCATTCCGGGATAAGAGGTTTGTAGATCACGAAAAGACGCGAGTGATGCAGAAAACTCCCATTCGTCACTACTCGCTCCTTACTTTAACCTGCAAGAAGACTCGTCCCCCTATCGATGAATGTTATGTGCGATTATACGACAAACCAATCAGAATGCGCGTATGATTTCAAGTTCTTCCTCAAATAATCCCTTTAGAAATATTTTTTTGATTTTACATATGTCGTGCATCTAAAAATATACCCAAAACACAGTTAAATGTGTTCAATCATACTGTATATTTCCGCACGTCCCGATGTGCTTTAATTTGCATCTGAAATATATGGGGGAATATATGTGAACCATTACGCAACAAGTTGACAATTATTTTAGGTATGCCCGTTTGCGCTAAGACGGAACCCGGTCGCAAAAATGGCCCGACCCGGAATAACAAGAGTTGGTCGCGAATGAAAAACGCCTTCTTCCTCGGAGTTACCGTAAAACTGAATACTGAAATAATATATAAAGAGATACAGCGTTTGTGAACAAGGAACGAGGAATTACCAAAATGAAGGTCCAAAATAAAATATACTTATGGCATGAGGTGAGGTGAAATTGGGTTTAACGTCACGTCTAGGATTATTGCACTTATATAGCCACCTGCATACACGTGTGTGTGTGTGGCTGCTTGTACTAGTCCGGACTGATGCCGATTTATAGTGCTATTACACTGAGATACCATGCTGCAGTTTAACATGAATGCCCCACTCAGACACAGTATACTGACTCCTAGCCGACCAGTCCTTGTTTTAGCCCCTTAATGCCGAGCGCCAGACAGGGTAACAACAAGTACCATCTTTTAACGTCTTTTGGTGTGACGCGGCCGGGGATCGAACGCCGGACCTTCCGCTCTCCGGGCGGACGCTCTACCACTAGACCACGGAGGCGGTCACTTATGGAATGAACGGATGTCTGCTTTTAGCGACCTTGTAATATTTTGTTGCCTCTTTTCAAACTTAAAGTAATTATAACATTTGTATTAAACAGTTTTATTTCTACAAAACATACAACACTAAAACCGAAACGTAATGAATAATGTTTTATAATGAAGTAGGTATTTACATCCGTGGATAATCTAGGAATACATTGTAGCATTTATTTATTCACAGAATAAAATGTAGCACCAACAGTCTTTTCATGCTTCTGAATGTATTGTATTGTTTAAATGAAATCAGTCAGAATAAAACGCATGTCTCCCCTATTATCGATCGTCTTGGTTCCTATAAACACGTCCGGGGATTGACAAAGGGTGTGGATTCAATGGTCAAGGTAAGTTAGTATTACAGTTTGATAATGAAGTATTTGAGGTTCAGACGGACGTAGTCATACTTACTTTACTTACTTATATATATATATATATATATATATATATATATATATATATATATATTGGTACGTTATCAAAATTTAAACTGTCAGAATCTATGTTAACATGGTAATTATTAATAGTAAATTAGAAGTGTCATTTTCACAAGTCACATTTCGTGCAAGTACAACTGTTCAAATGTCATCATTGAATGAAAGAATGGCGTCATGTTATGAATCAAACGGTCAGTTTGGAAGATGATTTTCTGAAGTTTTAAATTAAGTTAATTTATTACCGTTATTAAATAGAGTTTGGGTGATAATGATATTGACTTCAGTCATCAAATAAATGTAATGATCATATATATGTCTATAATACATTTTCTATCAGGTATAATTGAGGAAAAATAACATAACGTCCAATTCCAGATCGTTTTGTTCCACTGTTTCACATAAGGAGATGTATTCTACGACACCTGTGTGAGCATGCCAGTGTCACTAAAAACCTATGATCATTGAACTGGCAATAATCACTGACCACCAAGCCCAAAAATACAAGTACTTTCCGTGTTTCCTTAAGCAAAATTCACAAACCTAAAATTACCAAATTCCTAAGAAGCATGTGTAACGAGCTAACCATATGAGAGTGAAATGTGCTGAAAACGCCCATTGGTGAATCACTTCCTGTTGTTAGAGACAGACACCATGGTACCAACCCACCATCTGCGTTCATTACGGAATGAGTCTGCTAACGCAATCACAACAGCTGTCTCTGAAACATTGCATAAACACAAAACGCCCACCAATTTACACGCAAAGGCAACCAGTCCATCATATTTGAAGCCACCTGAAACCGTTTTTGCATTGGCCCCAGTAGGCCGCGTAAAGATCCCCTAATGTCACATGGTCCACGTCCTCTCTATATATTGACCACGGTTTGCCATCCCTGTGAGAAGCAACAGGTTCAATCCTTCATGATATAACACAAAACTGTTTGTCAACATCTACTCACACTGCTCAGCATGGACTCCCAATGAGCCAAGAGCAGTCACTGGTATCCGAGTTTATCCACAAAGTGTATTCATCACGCTCCCGTGTTATTGGTTTCAGTCAGAAGCATTCGTGTTGGTACATTGTATATGGAAATGCAGCTCACATACGCACACCAAGTCCGCTTAAAAGCCAGTAGACCGGTCTAATTTCACGATATATCGTTTCCCCGTAGTTCTAAATCGATACAAAGTCTTTGAATGGCGATTAGAAGTGATACACATAAGAGAGAGAATTTATGAATGAGGGAGTAAGTATATACTCCGAAACATTATATTCCTCATGGTAAAGAAGTTGACGTCCATAAATTCTCTCTCCCAAATCAATAGTATTTGCAGCAATACCATCTCAACATGCTTGGTATCCTCCTAGTGTCTACCCATCCCTTCATGTATTCGAGAGTTAAGATTTATTTTGTTCGGCCGTCTTCCTTTTCCTCCCCTTCTTCTTCTTCGACTTCTTGTTCTTCTTCCTCCCCTTCCTCGCCTTCCTCGTCAGCTTCATCCCCTCCTTGTCCAGCTCCGACGTGTCCACCTTCACGACGACGGCCACAGCATTGGAGTCGACTGGGCACGGACCGTCTTCCACGGAGATGTCGTCAATGGCGATGTCGCCTTGGTAACCCTTTTCAGCGATACCCTCGAAGGCGATCTGTGACAATGGAGGAGAGATTTATATAGTGTTGTGTTTCTGCATTTCATACATTTCACATCGTACACATAACTCAATTCACCCCTTGTTGAGTCTTGGTCAAGACACTGAACCCAATGGAGCCTAAGTCTAGGCACTATACCCGCTGTCCTGTATTTACAGTGGAGGTCCAGGCACTGTACCCAATTCCCTCTATGTTTAGTATAGGCCCAGATAATGTACCCACTGTACTCTATGTTTAGTACAGGTCCAGACACTCTCTTCTATGTTTAGTACAGGTCCAGACACTGTCCTCTATGTTTAGTACAGGTCCAGACACTGTCCTCTATGTTTAGTGTCCAGACACTGTCCTCTATGTTTATTGTCCAGACACTGTCCTCTATTTTTAGTACAGGTCAAGACACTGTCCTCTATGTTTAGAACAGGTCCAGCCACTGTCCTCTATGTTTAGTGTCCAGACTCTGTCCTCTATGTTTAGTGTCCAGACACTGTCCTCTATTTTTAGTACAGGTCAAGACACTGTCCTCTATGTTTAGTACAGGTCCAGACACTGTCCTCTATGTTTAGTGTCCAGACACTGTCCTCTATGTTAAGTGTCCAGACACTGTCCTCTATTTTTAGTACAGGTCAAGACACTGTCCGCTATGTTTAGTGTCCAGACACTGTCCTCTATGTTTAGTGTCCAGACACTGTCCTCTATTTTTAGTACAGGTCAAGACACTGTCCTCTATGTTTAGAACAGGTCCAGACACTGTCCTCTATGCTTAGTACAGGTCCAGACACTGTCCTCTATGTTTAGTACAGGTCCACACCCTGTACCCGCTCTCCTCTATGTTTAGTACAGGTCTAGACACTGTCCTCTATGTTTAGTACAGGTCCACACCCTGTACCCGCTCTCCTCTATGTTTAGAACAGGTCCAGACACTGTCCTCTATGCTTAGTACAGGTCCAGACACTGTCCTCTATGTTTAGTACAGGTCCACACCCTGTACCCGCTCTCCTCTATGTTTAGTACAGGTCCAGACACTGTCCTCTATGTTTAATACAGGTCCAGACACTGTCCTCTATGTTTAGTACAGTTCCAGACACTGTCCTCTATGTTTAGTGTCCAGACACTGTCCTCTATGTTTCATACAGATCCAGACACTGTCCTCTATGTTTATTACAGATCCAGACACTGTCCTCTATGTTTAGTACAGGTCCAGACACTGTCCTCTATGTTTAATACAGGTCCAGACACTGTCCTCTATGTTTAGTGTCCAGACACTGTCCTCTATGTTTAATACAGATCCAGACACTGTCCTCTATGTTTAGTACAGGTCCAGACACTGTCCTCTATGTTTAGTGTCCAGACACTGTCCTCTATGTTTAGTGTCCAGACACTGTCCTCTATGTTTAGTACAGGTCTAGACACTGTCCTCCATGTTTAGTACAGGTCCAGACACTGTACCGGCCGTCTTCTATGTTCAGTACAGGTCCACACACTGTATCCAATGTACACCAATATTTAACATTAAGACATCGGTACACTGGCGCCTACATAATAGACAGGTCTATAGATACCAAAGTAAGTTTGTTGGTTGGTTGGTTTGTTGTTTAACGCCGCACTCAGCAAATTTCCAGCTATATGACGGCGGTCGGTAAATAATCGAGTCTGGACCAGACAATCCAGTGATTGACATCATCGATCTACGCAATTGGCATACGATGACATGCATCAACCATGCATCGCCGCATAGTCGCCTTTTACGGCACGCATGTGTTGCTGAAGACCTATTCTAACCCGGATCTTCACGGAACCCGTTTTATTCTAGCCGTATTGGTGAAATATAAATTAATTAACTATAGGGTTAGAAATACCCAAGTTCACAAAAATGGCATGTGCACTTGGCCAAATATTTCTTCACGTAAGAATTTTGACACTCGTTTTCTGAAAACTGTATGACACATGTGCTCCTATAATCTCCATTTATACAACACGTGATGAGCTGTTAAACAAGTTGAGTACCTGGTAGCCTGCCCGGGCCAGCTGTTTGGGAATGGCAAGTCTCGCGATGATCCACCAGTCGCCTTGGTTACCAAATGCTCGCCACACTGATGTCACCTGGAATCCCCGTGCCTGTAACATATAAAAAAATATATACTTGTCAACAGTTGCGTTTTTTTATGGTTCTTGTTTGTTTTTTTGTTTTGTGTTTGTTTTTGTTGTTGTTGTTATTTTTATGTTGTTTTGTTTTAGTTTGTTTTGTTGGGTTTTTTTTGCTGGGTTGTTTTGTTGTTTTGTGTTTGTTTGTTTTTTTTGTTGATATTTTGTGTTGTTGTTTTTTGTTTGGTTGGTTGGTTGGTGTTTTGTTTTATTGTTTGTTTGTTTTGTTGTTGTTTTCTTTATTTGTTTGTTGTTTTGTGTGGGTTGTTTTGTTGTTGTTGTTTTTGGGGGGGGCGGGCGTAGGGGGTATGTTTGTTTGGGTTCTGTTTGTATTTTTTGTTCCTTGTAGTTTTGTTCTGATTTTGTATTTATCACAAAATAGATATTTTCTCATTTCACAATTTATAAATATTTATCACATATCAAGATATATATATATCGTTTTTATTCTAGGGTGAATCTTCCTCTGAACTGCTCAGTGACCCTAACCCCGATATATCATTATCAAAATCGGAGACAATTCTGAATATCTGAGTAAGGATGTAGGATTCACGAGGTGTACGATGTACACCCTGACGAGTCGTTATTTATATAGATACCGTCATCAATTTACTTCCACAATAAAGTTTAGTTACGTTCACGAAGGACTATTTAACGTGCGCTTTATGTTCAACAGTGTGTCTATACAGCATAGGGTGTGAGTTCGTAATCCAATCAGAAGCTAGATAGTGGAGGGATAACGAGCAGTTAATTCACCCCGAGGAACGTATAGGTGGATCAAGAGGGGGTGGGGGGTGGGGGGTCCAGGGGTCCAGGGGTCTTCCTAAACACGATGGATCCGCCCTTGGAGGCATGTCTATCACCCTTGCCATGAAGAGAATCACATTCTTAAAAACTGCATTTTTCGACTAAGCAGCTTTGTAAAATAATAAAAGTCGATATTAGTTCAGGTAACCGCTTCGTAACTATTCAGAGTAAGATTCATACTTATCAATTCAAAACATACGAGAAACGTGGACATGGAACTCCAATCTCAACATTCCCCCATTCAGTGCTACTACACCTTTGCAATATGCTGCCAAGGCCAAGGTCAAGGTTGCTGTAAATTCCATGCCGTATTCAGCGTTCTTCCTTTAAACGAATACGTGACTCCCGGGCAGTTTTAAATGCCAGCATATTGATACTCAAACCGCGTATACAACCTTTTAAATGCACATGACAGGATCTGTAAAGTCTATTCAATAAAACGTGTAAAGAAAAACATTAGCATATGTAAATTGTACATTGACAGTACAGGCGGTGGTTATACGATTGTATATGACTTTGATGTACGGCCGTATGTATTACATTAGCGTAAGAGAGACAACATATTGCCAATAGTGTAACACACAACGCGCGTCACAGGAGTTAGGTGGGTACAGTTCTGTACCAGTCACAGGCGCCACCGTGACTGCAGCGTGACTGCATCGTCACACCTTCGAGGACTTGTTGACTACACTAACAATAAACAAACAACTCATAAATACTACCCTAGATAGTAATAAGAAGATATGTTTTTCGTTTAAAAGTATTCCAACCATCTGAAATACAATGGACTCTGTGTTACTACCGACATACCAAAAATGCACGTACAAATTGCCTGTGTTCTGTTCACTAATAGAGTATGTCTTTATCCATGGGGCTGCCAAATGTCAAATATTTAAGAAACGTTTAAAAATGTCAGGACTATTAATTTCACAGACAGTGAGCAGACATTAAAACACTTTTTCCTGTTCTGGAGTAGCAATAACATCAAGTTTCGAGGCGTGATTCAGATTGACATTATCAATTGTAGAGTTTTTAGATATATTAACATGAGCACATCTTTTACCAATGCTTGTTTTCTTTTGAAGTGTAGGTGACAGTGCATATATTGGTTAAACTGTCATCTTACGTTGTTTGCTCAAAGTTGAATTTAGATCTGAAGTTTGAAGAGTCGTTTATCTCAGACAATTTAGTAATATGCATACTTCTGTAGCTGATTATTTCTAAAAATTATTTTGTAAAATGAAATTTAAACACTCTGATCATGCTCCACCGAACGTTGTAAATTGTCTTGAATGGAGTGCCCGAGAAATGTCACAAAGCTATCGTCGTAGGTTCGAATCCAGGTTCGCTCCGATTATGTTCCTAGGTTTGTCACCACCAAAGTGGGTTTCACTGAAGTGGTAAACGTCTGAGACCTGCATCAACTCGGGTTTACCTCCCACATCAGGCTGCCACGCCATGATGAAACTGAGATACATTTCACAGCGGAGTTACTCCTAAAATCAGGCTCGCTGACTTGGTTGATGCAGGTCATCGGTCCCAATTCCGTGTGTCGATGCTCATGATGTCAATCACTGGATTGTCTGGTCCAGACTCGATTATTTACATACCGCTGTCATATAGCTGGAATATTGCTGAGTGCGGCATTAAACAACAAACAAAACCAAAATACTCCCAAAATCACTCACTCACTCACCAGATGGCTATCAAGTTGGTGATCCCACATCCTCTGCGCTATAGCCTACCTAAGATGAGACATGCATGTCATGTAAACTGAGACGAGAACGCTGTTTAGACAGTCATGGAGACTGGGTTCTGTCTACAATTACACAAGCTTTTCATGTTGACGTTGATTTTAAGGAATCAGACGTCAGTCCCTTGGTGGGTTTTGATAACCTATAGCACTCTTCTGTACTAGCCATATGGTTAAACATTCAAGTTTGGTACGTTTAAATAAATGCTGTCATAAATGTACTGGTAAACAACTTGTGAACTTCAATAGAAGACGTTGTTTTGCAGCATTAATCCAGAAATCCGACCCCGACGGGGTACGTAATGCTGCCCTTGTTATTGTGCGCGCACAGACAAGGGAATCACAGCGAAGTAATCCTTTGGCTAGGATGTCAACACGTGGTTTAATGGATTATAATTTCTTTGATGTAATATGAGCACACTAACGTCTTTACTTCACTGTAATCCACGCCACGGGTTTTTGCCGCTCATTTACATCAAAGGATAATGGGTCGTTGCATCTCCTAAACCTTGTTAGTGCGGAAACTCGTTATTATGGTCGTAGTAGTAGTAGTAGAAGTAGTAGTAGTAGTAGGGTATGCAGCAAAGAGGGTTTTGGGTGATCCTGACACAGTCAGGCTGGTAAGTCTCATCATCAGCTCAAGGGCCCCTGGTCGAATCCACCGATAGTTTTTCGGGGAATGTGAAGACTACAAAACACTGCATTATTATCATTGTTGTTATTGTTGTTGTTATTAATATTATTATTATCCCAGCAGAGGAGACGAGGATACTGTTTCAGATTATGTCAGATAAATGCCGGGGTTTTTTTCGTCCCCGTGACGTACCTTTGCGTAGACGTTGAGTGTACCGACGTGTCTACCGTACATGTGGTAGTGAAAGCCCACACACTGCTGCTCCATGCCGCGGTATAGCGGGGAGTAGATGATGGCGTTATTCCCCCTTGCCTTGGCGGAAGCCTCGATGTACATGAAGTGACCTGCAAGATGGACGGATGATGCAAGTCCTATTGTTGCAATATTGACGTGATATGACGTCACACTGAGACAATATGGAAAAATGATTTGAAGTCACGTTGTCTCAATATGGGCAGATGTCACAACGTTATTAGGTAACTATATTGGCAGGTGATGTGACGTCAAACTGTAGCAATATGGGAATACTATATGACGTCCAACTGTAGCAATATGGGAATATTATATGACGTCAAACTGTAGCAATATGGGAATATTATATGACGTCCAACTAGCAATATGGGAAGATTATATGGCGATATATTGTAACAATATGGGTAGATGATATGACGTCAAACTGTAGCAATATTGGAAGTTTATATGATGTTATATTGTAACAATATCGGCAGATGATATGACGTCATATTGTAGCAACATGGATAGATGTGACGTCATATCATAGCAAGGACAGATGATATGGCGTCTTACACAAGTTTTCTTAATTTGAAGTCTAAATATCTTGTCTCGAAATATGAAAACGAACGGAGGCGTAGCCGAGTGATTAAAACATTTGCTCGACACGCCGAAGACCCGGGTTCGATTCCCCATATGGTGACAATGTGTGAAGCCCATTTCTGTTGTCCCCCGCCGTGATATTGCTTGAATATTTCTAAAAGCGGCGTAAAATCATACTCACTCACTCAGTTATTGGTGTTCACTTATTTCTTTCCATCAGTATACAATGAAGCTATGGAAACCATGGAACCTGCTGGGTCTATGCATAAAGCTACACGTACATTTACCATCAATGTGTTCTGTAAACTGCCGATAATTCAGCATGACTACAACGTTAAACGGCCATTCAGTACCCTCAGGTAAACCAATGTGGCAAGTTTATGTGTCTGTTTTAGGTAACTACGAAACTTGGTGGGAATTCGCTGCACCTCAAGTGCTTGTAAAACCTTTTGTTTTGTTTATATCAAGCATTCATGTTCGCGTGAGTATCCACAGAAGCGAACTGGCGGCTCTCAAGATACCCTAGCTTATTCTATTCAATCAATGAGGTTTCGTTCGTCACAGTGAGCACACATCCAAAGGCTTAAATCAATCCCTAGAAGAACCAGGCCCATGCCAGGCGGTACATGTGGCCGAATAGGGGAGCTGTCGACAATCCGGCACCCCGTGGCTGGTGTCACCGATGTGGTCTGTGTAAACGGTATGTCGCCGATGGGTGCTTAGAACAGGAATGCGCACGGTTTTTGAGCACAAGCAGTCTTTAAACGCCTCTCTATAGCACCAAAAGCACTCTTTAAACACCCCTCTATGTAGGAGGATGTTTAGCCAGTCGGTCCGGTATATCTAACCTACCTGTGTTCGCATCACAAGTGTGGTCTTTAGACGGCCTTATATATCTAGCCTACCTGTGTTGGCATCACAGGTGTGGTCTTTAGACAGCCTTATATATCTAATCTTCCTGTGTTCGCATCACAAGTGTGGACTTTAGACGGCCTTATTTATCTAACATACCTGTGTTCGCATCACAAATGTGGTCTTTAGACGGCCTTATACATCTAACCTACCTGTGTTCGCATCACAAGTGTGGTCTTTAGACGGCCTTGTATATCTAGCCTACCTGTGTTCGCATCACATGTGTGGTCTTTAGACGGCCTTGTATATCTAACCTACCTGTGTTCGCATCACAAATGTGGTCTTTAGACGGCTCTATACATCTAACATACCTGTGTTCGCATCACAGGTGTGGTCTTTAGACAGCCTTATATATCTAATCTTCCTGTGTTCGCATCACAAGTGTGGACTTTAGACGGCCCTATTTATCTAACCTACCTGTGTTCGCATCACAAATGTGGTCTTTAGACGGCCTTATACATCTAACCTACCTGTGTTCGCATCACAAGTGTGGTCTTTAGACGGCCTTGTATATCTAGCCTACCTGTGTTCGCATCACATGTGTGGTCTTTAGACGGCCTTGTATATCTAACCTACCTGTGTTCGCATCACAAATGTGGTCTTTAGACGGCTCTATACATCTAACATACCTGTGTTCGCATCACAAGTGTGGACTTTAGACGGCCTTATACATCCAACCTACCTGTGTTCGCATCACAGGTGTGGTCTTTAGACGGCCTTATACATCTAACCTACCTGTGTTCGCATCACAGGTGTGGTCTTTAGACGGCCTCATACATCTAACATACCTGTGTTCGCATCACAAATGTGGTCTTTAGACGGCCTTATACATCTAACCTACCTGTGTTCGCATCACAAGTGTGGTCTTTAGACGGCCTTATATATCTAACCTACCTGTGTTCGCATCACAAGTGTGGTCTTTAGACGGCCTTATACATCTAACCTACCTGTGTTCGCATCACAGGTGTGGTCTTTAGACGCCTTATACATCTAACCTACCTGTGTTCGCATCACAGGTGTGGTCTTTAGACGGCCTTATACATCTAACCTACCTGTGTTCGCATCACAGGTGTGGTCTTTAGACGGCCCGGTGCTGCCGGAGGGGGTGGAGCCCTTGGCTCTCTTCCAGTTAAAGACGTCGGTGTCGTTGGTCTGGATGAAGCCGCAGTTGTAAGGGTCTTCAAACCCACAGAACGCTGCAGTTTTAGCTGAAATAAGACACAACAAACACACATCATTACATTACTAAATACATTCCTTATTTATCTGCTACATACATATATAATCATTCGAAAAAAGGTATACATCTTTCATGATAAGAAAGACATTTTTACACATCAAGTCTACCTATATCAAAATGTTCACAGCATGCAAAAAAGAACACTGAAAACAACGTACTCTTTTTTTTCAAAACCATATAAACAAGGAAATCGTGGTTTCCGTTGCTTGTCGGATATCGAAAACATGACATAAAAAATAAAAACCGAGAGTAATGTCTTGGAGCCCTCTAGGGTCAATTGTAAATTAAAATTTAAAAGATAAAAAAAAAAACCATTTTTTTAAATGTCTCCGCTGTACATAGTCGCCCAGCGATGTTTCGCAGACTCGTAGCCGTAATCACCAAACCACCTAAAAGACATGAAGCGGAAGTCCCCCATTCAGATAATATCAACACGCAGGTATTCTATCACATAACATCAAAGGATGTATTGCTGTGTGGACAACCACTTACACGACTGCTGACAGCACACTATCCAGAGACACCCGACTCGCATGAAACTGATGAATGTCAGGTGTTCAGTCAAACCAGACATGTATGCATGTAACGTGTGTTCAACACAATAAAACAATCGCCTTTAGACATGGTCAATATTTCGAGGATAACGAAAGAGCTACGAGGATCTACAGATAATATGTAACATGTGCACAAATAGTGTAACAGGCTTACAGTCACGAGCCACAGATAATCCGGAATGCGAGTAGGTTATTTTGCGTATTACTCTTTGACATTTTGAGGGGAGGCGAAATGGGGTTTAACGTCGCGTTCCAAGATTATTGCACTTACATAGCGACGTGCATGCACGTGTGTGTGTGTGGCTGCTTGTACTAGTCAGGACTGATGCCGATTTATAGTGCTAGCCCACTGAGATACCAAGCCAAAGTTTAACATGGATACCTCACTGAGACGCAGTATACTGACTCCGAGCCGACCAGTCCTTCTTTTAGCCCCTTAATGCCGAGCGCAAGACAGAGTAACAACAAGTACCATCTTTTAACGTCTTTTGGTATGACGCGGGCGGGGATCGAACCCCGGGCGAAGCTCTACCACTAGACCACGGAGGGGGTCTTGACATTTTAAGAGAGAAAATGAGGTAAAAGGTGTCTCATGTCACCCCTACAGAGGAACTTCACTGAAAACAGCCTGTTTTTCAGATGGCGTAACGTCATGAACAATAGATAACGTCATATCGTATTTTCTGAAATGAACAATATGGTACTGTGACCTTAATTGACCAATGAGAATTGAGAAGCGCTAAAATGATTATGTGCAAATACCGGAAAGTTATTACGCATGACATTCTACCTTATGTGTAATATCTGTTTGTATGGGCCCAAAAAAAATGCAATTATTATGTTGACGGAGGTCGATATTGCTTTTTTCGGGTGATCATATGAGTGACATGGGAACGTCAGTTAATGGTTTACTTGGTCCAGCTTTTTTTTCACAGATTGATATTGTGATATAACTGGAATATTGCTGACTGCGGCGTTTATACAACATGGACGCTTACTCAGAAGCTACCAACCCAGAAACAAAACCTGGTTAAATATATGTTATCATACCTGAAAGAAAGTTGGGATATCAACAACTGGTTTGTCAGGTCACCGTGACATATAGTTATAATTGTTGGGGAAACTGCCACCCCTCCGTCTGCCCCAACTCCTCCTCTAGAACATTCAGATGTATCCGGCCCTTCAGATATACGAGGGCCACAAAAAATGCTTTAGCAAGGAACATGAAAATATGATTGACTTTTCAGATAGCCAAGCATGCTCTTTCGGGAACATTTCGAAGAGCCTCATACGGCTCTTGCTCAAACGTTGTTTGATCAAGATTGCAACATTCAAGACCCTAGTAAATCTTTCAAAAAGTTTTAAGGTAGACTAGTGAATGAATTTCCAATTTTAACGCATCGGTGACACAAATTATGCCCGATACATATTCCACTTTGACTTACAGCATATTACCCAGTGCTTTTTCAGGTGAACAATTGATTTGCCTTTGCGTGTGTTTGTGACTGGTGCCATCAGTGGGGCAGGATACGCTCACCTTTTCGCATTAGTTTCATCACTGTTTGATAGTGATTCATAAACACATGTTCGTAATATAGTCGGAAACGTACAATGGAGATTTATAATGATTATGGGAAGAGTTATGCTCCTTTTATTTATTATCCTGAGTTATGTACTGAGCATAAAACATATTTATGTATCAACTGACAACCGAATTCAGCATGAAAATAGCAGACACGCGCCACATGTCTTGACAAGCCAAGTGAGTTCATTTGCCGGCCACATATAGTCATCACAGCTGCATGTAACTTTATGAAAGAAACACTATGTACGTCCAACGAAGTTTGACGGTTTAAAGATGTAATATTCGCGCATGGCAGGTGGTTAAAGGTTGGCATGTGTTTACCAGTCTCTGGAACAGAGTCGCATTATTTTACATATGCTTCCTCGTCACGTCCATGTCAATTACCCAAGCACTAACTACTCTTCACATGTCGATGGTTGACTATAGATATATAGACATAAATAGTTTTGTATTGTATAAATGCCAGTCGTCCAGCGGTGTTATGCTATCTGCCTTGTCGTGAATAAACGTTATTGACAAGAACAGCTCCTTGTAGCATCCCTGCATGCTTGGGACTTATTATTCTTCTCCTTCATCTGAACAAAAGAAAATGTGTTTTGAAGGTTTTTTCGAACCACTCAAACGGAAAAGTATTCCTTCCAGCTCAATAGATTCCAAATTGCGTTGGGCTCCAGGCTAGATACCCACAGCGCTGTGGCGGAAAGTTTCAAGTTACCACCCTCGATGATTTCGACTAGCGGTTCTCGAATGCTAAAAGATCAGTGTTTAATTTATCGGGTTATTTGTTAAGTTTCGGCATAATAGGCTGAGGCACGGGCGTGAAGATGGTGTTTTTGATGAGTTTCTGTGTGTCCGGAACCCCCCAGGGGATGAAGAGAGCATGTAGCACAACTATGTGGGTGTTTTTGTCGGTGTGATGAAAACGGTCAAGGTTAAATTCAAAGATTGTAAACAATTCTAAAATAAGCTTTGGTTTGTGAATTTTCAATTTCACATTGAACCATTATAGGCAAAGAGAGTGAACAGCTAACTTATTGTTTAATTTGTTAAGGGTTGCTATGTGTACAAGGCCTGTGACATAAACCTACAGGTTCATGTATACAGAGAATATAGACGTGAAGGAACCTTTGTCCCTTGATATAAGCTTCAAAGAACCACTATTTTATATCAACATCAACATTGACATCAACTTCAAGAAATAGCGTCCTTGGACACAAGCCTTCAGAGAGTGTCCTTGGATATCAGCTTCAAGAAATAGTGTCATTGGACACCAGCATCCAGAAATAGTGTCCTTAGACATCAGCTTCAAGATATAGTGTCCTTGGACACCAGCTTCAAGAAATGGTGTCCTTGGACACCAGCTTCAAGATATAATGTCTTGTTCTTGAACGTCAGCTTCTAAAAAACAATGTCCTTGAACGTCAGCTTCTAATAAACATTGTCCTTGAACGTCAGCTTCTAATAAACATTGTCCTTGAACATCAGCTTCTAATAAACATTGTTCTTGAACGTCAGCTTCTAATAAACATTGTCCTTGAACGTCAGCTTCAAATATACATTGTCCTTGAACGTCAGCTTCTAATAAACATTGTCCTTGAACGTCGGCTTCTAATAAACATTGTCCTTGAACGTCGGCTTCTAATAAACATTGTCCTTGAACGTCAGCTTCTAATACACATTGTCCTTGAACGTCAGCTTCTAATAAACATTGTCCTTGAACGTCAGCTTCTAATACACATTGTCCTTGAACATCAGCTTCAAATATACATTGTCCTTGAACATCAGCTTCTAATAAACATTGTCCTTGAACGTCGGCTTCTAATAAACATTGTCCTTGAACGTCGGCTTCTAATAAACATTGTCCTTGAACGTCAGCTTTTAATACACATTGTCCTTGAACATCAGCTTCTAATAAACATTGTCCTTGAACGTCAGATTCTAATAAACATTGTCCTTGAACGTCAGATTCTAATAAACATTGTCCTTGAACAGTACCTTCTAACACACATTGTCCTGAACATAGACTTTGGGGAAACATTGTCCTCGGGCATGAGCTTCTTTAAAACATGGTCCTCTGACATTACCTTCTAAGAACCATTGTCTTAGGAATTACTGTATTATTGTCTGTTTAACATGTTATCCAGAACATTCACATTATAAAACATCCCATGAACCTGTGAGTTCTCGTCAAAACAATCACAAACCACAACATATCATTTTCTTTCGTCAAGGTCCATTGGCAAAGTGTGCACGAGGAATGCTATCTAGTTTTAACCGTTGACAAAGCATGACCCAATTCCATATTTGAGACACTTTATAATCCTCCCTTGGCAGCGGTCATTACTACCGTGGCTACCTTCAATTTATAGGAGGCTCGGCCGAACGTTCAATGACACACTGAGAAATATTTTAAAGGCGTTTTAAACTTTTTAAATCCGAATACGTGCTCTACATTGACGAAGCGTCAAAATATATACATCCCTCCATTCACTCAGTGTTTACGCTGGGCGTAAAAAATTCATATTTTCAGAAGGACCATTACATCAAATTTAAGTGTACTTGTCGTTAACAGGCTAAAAATGTGTATTTGATTATTCCGTATTTGAAGTGGCTTAGAACGATTGTTTGAGTCTACAAAGCACATTGTACACATACACAACCAACCTTTGTAACCTCGGAGAAACATCCAGGTAGCCATGTTTTGCGTGTATTTAAATACCTTTCATTCTTATAGATGATTGTATAGACAGTAATTGTGCTAACAGCATATAAGGGATTACTCTTAAGCCAAGCACTGTGTAGAGAGTTCATCTTCTTGTATTGCGTATT